CGCCCCGCGCCCCGCCCGCAGCTGTTCTGCCCCGCCCGGGCTGGGGGGGCCCGGGGAGCGCCTGGGTCTGGCGTGCGGGGTAGATGGGACAGAAACCCGGACACAAGGAGGTGAGAACACCCCGAACGTGTGTGCAAATAAGGGCACAGGGAGGTTAACAGGTTCATGTGTCACTTTACTTCGGTCCACTTCTACGTGTACATCATAGAAGCCTTTAATACTAAAAAAAACTGATTTCGCTATACGTCTGTCCTGCACTTCCAGTGTTTTTCTCCCGGGCTGCCTGTCAGCCTGTTCACTATCCCAGACTCGGGTCCAGCTTTAAAACAAACAGAACCCCTCCCCGCCCCCCAAACGAAAAAAACAAACACCACAACATAAACAACAACAAAACCACTTACAAATGTATTGCATTAAGCGGCTTTAAATAAAAACGCTACTTTTACAGGCCTACTACATCACTTTACTTCCCTGAGTACAGCTAGATCAAATAAAAAATGCTGACTGTTTAACCAGGAAGATGAAAGAAAGGTTTCTGCAAGGCTTGGAAGAGCCAGTTCTGGTAAAAGTATGTTCATGTAGATGTAAAAGAAAAAAAAATAAATAATCAGACTCTTTAAGGGTGGAGCAGTGACAGTCCCTTTCCAGTTGAATAATTTTCCCCCTCCTCATGGCTCTTTAAAACCTGATACATAAATTCAGAGGCCAGAACCTTCTTATAGCTTCCAGGGATCACCATGAGTATGTAGAGCACGAGTGTGGTGTAACAGAGAGTTCAGCATCTGAGAAAGGGCAGGAAAGAAAACTGTGTTTTTAAATCTAAGGCTGAATGAGAAGTACAAACCTACCAACTCAGTTGTTTAAACTTAAGGTTAATAACAATTCTGATATTCAATTAAGAGGTCTTATATCAATATTTATTCCTATACATGAGGGTTATACTCCATAGGACACTGATCATAGGCAGCTGCTGAACAATACATTTGGTTATGGATAATATAAAAATACCAGTTGACTTATTCTTTCAACAAAATTACCCCTAAAGGTAGGATACATAAAGCCACCTCAGAGTTTCATCACTAAACACAACTGTGTTCGTATTTTAGATCCCAACTCAAAGAATTCAGATACACACGCATCTTGAATTTACAAAATTCTACCTTATCATATTAAGAACTATGCTTTAAATAAAAATAATTCTGGGGCAAGAATGATACAAACTAGGGTAATTGCTTACTTCATATAGAAGTTTTAAGAAAAAAAAAAAATCCTCTCTATAGAGGTAACATTCTAGATACCAAATGATGCAAATGGCAAAATGGCACCTTTTTGGCGCATAATGTCAGTGATGCTGGAAAAGTGGTTCTCACTGACCACTGGTTGGCAGCCGAGTGGGACTACATTTTCAAACAGTTCTGGCATTGGTAACTACAACTATGCAGCAGCACTAACTTCCTCCTGCTGGCCCCCCAAAGCCCTTCCAGTCCAGTCTGCTGGAAAACTATCTCATAAACTTGGTATTTCAGTTAAAGAACTGGGCTGGGATGAAACAATTCTAATGTATCTCTTATTGGACAATGAGATCAGGAATCACTAAGTCTTACTTTGTGTGGAAAAGGGAACCAGCAGAGCAGAAGCAGGAAAACTGTAATGGAGAGTAAGGTAGAAGCAGAGAAGACCAAGTGCCTGGTGTTGGGCTGAAGGCAGAAATGGCGGGGAAAGGCAAGGTCAGAATATAGGTGGGCTACATGGTCTTGTGGTTGATAGATGGCCAAATAAGAATTTACACCTTTTCCTGGAGAAATTTTCTTCTATCTTCTAAACCCGCATTTTTTCTTGTCAACAGCCACCACCTCAAACATTTAAAAAATAGGAGATGTACTGCAATAATCAGAAACTGATAAGGTTTAATCAATGTGAAGTGTAACATTAAAGCACACTTAAAAGTTTCAATACGGAAGAACAAGAGAAATGTAGCAAAAAGGTCTGGAATGTAAGAATCCTGCACCTCAAGCTTTTCACGCATAAAGAAAACAGAACAAGTGTTTTGTTTGTTTTTCTATTTTATAAAGAAAACACACAAAAACCCTTAGGCCCAAGAGTTCACCTGCATTTCATATTCTTAAGTTTACAGTATAGAAGTCACATTAATGATGATAGTACTACCAGTCAGCATAAACCCTCTCTTCACCAGCACCACTATGCCTTTTTAATTGGCAAACACACTTTTTCACTGGTAACTGGTTCTAGTTGCATGTTATCAATAATGGAAGTACAGAAGGTTTAACTCTGCACTAATACAAGTGGTAGAGTTATTCACCTAGTGACCATTCAGTACTTTTTAGATGTAATGCTAGCATCTGCCAGATTTTTATAGTGTACAATATTATTTATAAGCCTGTTATTATTGTATATGATTTCATACGACATTAGAGATGTTTGAAATCTGTTCTTGGATGTTGTATGACCTAGGTAGTATTCCATTGCAGCACCCATAACAATAATACTCAACATACTGCTATTTACCTGTTGCGCAGTGTTTTAACATTTTTTTAACTCTTGTTATATGTAATAAAATACCAGTAAAGACAAAAAATTGCCCCTATAATGAGGCACATTTTGGCATCTGTGCTAAATGCTGCTACATGGGCAGGCAAGTGCAAGTCAAAATATGAAAAGGAGAAAGTCATCATCTAATCACATTCATAACTTTTTCATAGAAAAATATAAATATATTCCCTGAAATGTAGGACAAAGAAGAGCCAGCATCCATCATGAGTTCTAGTGCTATTACCATAAAAAAAAAAAAGTGGGCTGGCTTTTCCTTTTAAGGTTACGTTTTGCATTCTACATCATCTAAACCTCTCTCCTCGTCATCGTCGCCATCGTCATATCTCACAGTCCGTCTACCGCAGTTCCGAGTTCTTATCTTAGAACGCCGATTAGCTCTTCTGTATTTGGTGTAATCCAAATCTTCAGAGTCATTTTCTTGGTTCAGTTTCCAACGTTTCCTTCGCTGGGGTCTTCTGGAAGGCTTACGTGAGTTGGAATTGGTAATTTCTTTTCTCAAAATTTCTGTTTTCCTTTTCCTCTTCCTTGTTCCTGTGGCATCACTATAGATACTGTTATCAGTTCTAGAGTCTGAATCAGAAAAACAATTGAAACTGGCTTTTGAACTTCCTGCAGTCCCAGGGGCTTCCATATTTTCCGACACTGAGCTTTTTTCATCTTTCTTTCCCCCTGTTTCAGATTCTGCTGTTTCATTGAAGTCATCCAGTATTTTAGATCTTTTGAAAGAAGCTCTAGATTTTTTATTTGATACTTCTCTGGTATTTTTAGTTTCATGTTTAGCCAAGTCAGAATCTATCTCATCTTCAGAGTTACTTGTACAATGGTTGTGGGCTGAAGCTGATTGACTAGAACTTCCCCAGTTTTTCCCGTTTTCGATGTTGTGGTTTGTGGAATTCTCCTCTGAAGAGTTGTATTTGAGATTTTTTAAAGTTGCAGCACACACTTTTTTGTGTGCCTGCTTGTGGCTGCCATCATTCTGCTTTTGAGTCACTTTTGTCTCTGCCTCAGATTCTGTTCTTTCATTCTCAGACTCACTAATGTATTTTCTTTTAGGAGCAGATGATTCGGGGCAGGAAAGTGTTTTTCTGCCAGAAAACTGTTCTCTCTCATTTTCAGACTTTAAGCAAGTATCTGTCTCTGAGTTGCTGATCGGTTTCTTCCTGGATGCTGCAGACATGTTGCCATGAGGTTGCCTTCTGTTCTTTTTTACTGTGCAAACACTTTCTGAGCTTGATAATTCCTCCTTTGTATCGCTCATTATCTTAATCTTATTAGCTGCCAAAGTGGCACATCTGCGTGGGTTTTTCTTCTCAGTCACCTTAGACAGCTTTATGTGTTTCTTGTAGTTAATGATACACGTCCTGCTCCTGAGCACTTTTGCATTTTGTCCAGTCTCCTCAGATGCTGATTCTACAAAATAAAGATTTAAAAAACTTAAGTCCCTGAAATAATTAGTTAAGCACAAACACTGCCACCTTTAATAGAATAAACAAAAGTTATTTTATTTTATTTCAACTATTAACGAAGTATTTACCTTCAGCCTTTACTAAAAATACAGTTAGCCAGTCCCAGGTATACTTTTAACTCTCAGGATCACCCTTTTGATTTGAGATAATGGAAGGTTTTGAGAGTAAATTTCTTTAGCATCACTCCAGTAATTAGCCTGGAAATTACAAATTACCTAACTTAGCAATCAAATGCTCTCATATTACTGATACTTCTATCATGAGAAGCTATAATTTTCTTACTAGAATGAACTTCCAAAATTAACTATTACACATTTTACACCTTTTTACTCTAAAAAAAGATTATAATATTTTACGTAGACACAAGTCCTGAACACGAAAGGAACAATTCTAGAATTATTTCACATACACAGAACATACTAAAACTGCTCTGTTCCTTAGCAACTTAAAAAGTCGTCTCTTCCATTCAGTCTTTTTATTTTTAATATAGCACATACTTAATATGTTGGGCTTCAAAACAAATATTCAATCTGTAAATAATGTGTACAATGCTAAGAAGATCAGTATTTTAAACTTTTACCTTCTAAATAAAACAGAATTGCTCCTAAGTATCTGAAAATTAAAAGCAGTTCTTGATATAAACTTATTTGCATAAACTTGATTAAACAGAAAAAGATCAAAACTTTACTATTTTAGCAGAAATGTGTTTTGCAAAGTTAGTTTTTCCAAGACTTTTTTCCCAGTGTCTGTTTCTTTATAGCTGTTACTGATTTTATGAGCGAAATTTATAAATGTGTTCCATTAAGACCCCTGCATTGCATTAGCCTGTTACCTCCTGTTAATAGCCAATTTTGTTCTATCTTAAACTCACTACTTTTGATTATTATCTACCTATACTCATCAAACAGGGAAAAATCATGGCAGCTGCTGTATATCTGCAGAACACTAGGCAACTAAGTATTTTCTCAATTAGAAGTTGAGGGAAATGAGGAGTTCAGAGAGGGTCTGCTCCCTTATCTTCCTTTATAGAGGGATGAAACAAGCTTGTCTCACTAGCTTTGTTTCAGCTGCTTGAGCTGCTAATGGTCAAATGCTTTCAGACCCTGACAGCCACCACAGGAGTACTAGTCTGAGACTTAATGTTGACTGGGGTTCAGTTCCTTGCTCTTTCTGGCCAGCTTTACTGGATGTGGTAGCACTGCAAGTAATTTGTACTCTCTTGTTCCCCAGTTCCTCAGCTAAGAGGTAAGGATAGGACAACATTTTCCCTAAAATCTGACAAAAATAAACACATATATTATAGAAAGTGTAAAAAAAGTTATGGGCCACAAATTCAAATGTCCTGCTCAAGTATGAATATTAAAAATCTCTTAATACATCAAATCTGTTCATTATTTCAGTGTAAAATCCTTTACATATGACTCAAATATATTCTTATTTTGATGTTTCCAAAAGATAATTACTGTCTTTTCTGGTCAAATACACACAAGACATATGGTTACTGTTTACAGCTGTTAGGAAGCAAGCTTGAACAGGCAGAAGCAAATGAGCTTTAAACATCATAAATTACACTTAAAACAGGAAACTACTGTAAGTAAATGTAGTGATACATCATGACATAGTAGTGTTGGCGAACAAGTTACCAGTAGAAAGAGATATTTCAACCAGTTAGTAAGTGTGGAAATGTATAACCCAACCTTAGGATTAAGAGTTCCCTGCATCTGCTTGAACCTATGCTCACATGCTAGAATGGCAGTTTGGAAGGTGGAAAAGACAGCCCAGCTTTACTGCTGAGTGCTAATTTAAGGCCCTTTGGCCATCTGAAGAAATAAATGTTTTAAACTTAAAGACATCACCTGGAATTATTTCAAGAAAGGCAACTTTAAAAAAAAAAAAAAAGAAAGAATGCATACAATTATTTTAGACATTTTTTAAAAGCAATAGTTGCTTAGGTGTTTATACATGCATGTTTTGAGGAAAAAAGCCTTTATCGTAATAAATGTATACTACCTGTATTTTCAGGTTATGCATATTTTCAGGCCACATGTATTTTCAGGTGATATGTATTTTCCAAGCTTCAGAAGCTAATTCAAAAAATGAAATGCAAGACTAAAGGATAAAGTAGTTCAGCCTTTCTGCAACACACCGCCAGAATATTCAATCTATACTTTGTACACAAAAATCTTAAATTGGGTGCGTATTTGT